CTTCTGATGAACCAGTTATTTGGTGCCAAGGTAGGGCTCTGAACGTTTGCCTGGGTGCAGGTACAACAAAATACTATTTTGTGTGCATAAAACTGGCTGCTGAAGTCACGAGGTGCTACAACATATATATTCTACCAACCACCATGAGTTTGACTTGACCAAAAAGATGGAATATTCATAAAGTGCATGCAAACTCTAATTCCCCCAATTCCATTGCCTTCAGTGATGGAAGGGATGTGCAATGGGCACTGTTACATCTCACTCTGCAGATACTTGCAAAAACCTCCCCATAGTCTGGTAACTGGAAATATTGCAGTAGGCCAGTCCAGGCCTGAAGAGCATTGAGCTTGCAGGACACCAGCTCAAGCCCACAAGGAGTACTGGACTAAGAAAGACCCAGCACTTTTTCTGCCTGCTACCTTATTCTTGCAGTACTCTGTCAACAGACATCGCAATAAGCAAGTTTGTGTTAACTTGTTGCAGAAACCTGTTTATTTGGCTGCATCAGAATTGTTTCAGCAATCCAAATTCTGCTATAGTCTCTACAAATATTTTGGATAGATGGATAACGGTGAAAAATAACTTATATTGGGGTACCTGCATTGAAGATAGGTGGGTTAAACATTTAAATATGTTAAATATTATCATTTTGATTTGAAATATTTGCAAAAGTAAAATAAAGTGTGAAACACTAAGTGGTTGGTGCCTAAAAGTACTAATTCAAATTATAAGCAAACGGCAAATGTACCACCTTCGATGGCCGTATAACTGATGTTATTTATAATAAAATAGTGCCATCTAGTGGATTATAACTGCTATTCATGAAAGGGTCATTCTAACTAAGCACCATCACAACAGTGCATCATTTTACTCTGTATCTACCTTAAGGTGGCTTACAGTGGCTTAGTTAGAACTATAGAAATTTTGAACTAAATTGCTGCAGCTCTAAACCTGTTCCTCGTAGCTATCAATCAGACCCAAAAGAAGAGCTTGAGAGCTTGAATATGCTCATGCCACATGCTCAACTTAGACTGATCTCTCTCCCTCATCTCAGGATAAACAGCCAACTGGTGGATCATGTATGCACAGATTGCATCTGCCAATAGCTGAACATAATCCAGTTCACTATCAGTGTACCTAGCCATGTGTAAACAGATAGCCTAGCCATGTGTAAACAGATAGCAGAGAAGCCCTGTGTGGCTTCTATCAGTTTTTAGAACAGTTCTGCTCATCTTAAAGGACCACTATAGGCACCCAGACCACTTCAGCTCAATGAAGTGGTCTGGGTGCCAGGTGCATCTAGGGTTAACCCTGCAGCTGTAAACATAGCAGTTTCAGAGAAACTGCTATGTTTACATTAGGGTTAATCCAGCCTCTAGTGGCTGTCTCACTGACAGCCGCTAGAGGCGCTTCCTCGATTTTCACTGTGAAAATCACAGTGAGAAGACGCTGACTTCCATAGGAAAGCATTGAGAAATGCTTTCCAATGGACTGTTTGAATGCACGCACGGCTCTTGCACTGACATTGGAAGAGAGAAGAGACTTACTCAGAGCCAAGGGAGCCCGGCGCAGGAGAAAGGTAAGTGATAAACCTTTTCCTCCCCCTTCAGCCCGGCGGGAGTGGGACCCTGAGCGTGGGGGGGACCTAAAGACCCTATAGTGCCAGGAAAACGAGTTTGTTTTCCTGGCACTATAGTGGTCCTTTAACTAATGAGTGGATCTGTTTCATGAAATAAACTTTTTATCCCATACGTTTTTTATGGGAGTGCCCTGTCTTCCTCCCAAGGTAACTAGTCAAGCTGTTTGTAAAGTCTGAGTCTGCAGACCAACAGTCACCACCTTCATCCATAGCAGGAATAACTATAGGTCAACCCTGGGTGACTGCCTATCTCCTTAGGGGCCTAAGAACCAAGAATTTGCTTGGCCTCATTAACCATCCCTTACAACGATATAAATACAGTGGGTACTTATGCAATAAATACTCTAACGCCTAGGTGGGGTCCCCTTAACCATCACCAAAAATAGAAATTGCAAATATATACAAGGTGGAGTATCTTACATGCACATTCAAAGGTAAATCTTTATATTTAGTATTGACCTACAATAAAGCATAAAAAAGACAGATAATAGCGCAATATTCAACACAGCAGGGGGGAGAGTCAGCGCTAGATAACAAAAATAGAGAGGCAGCAACCCAATAATGGGAATCCCTCTTAAACCCTTAACAACAAGATGTAAGAACAAAAAGAAGAGGTGAGGGTTGCGCCAATAAGTCTCGTAATGATAAATATACAATTGAAAACAGACCAATTGGTCTAAGTGATAATACAACAATGGTATGTCTCACTAAAAAAAACACTGTAGTTCTCAGTATAAAAGTATTCGTAAAAAAAGCCTCACAATATAACAGGATAACAGAATACAATAGGGGTTCCTCAGGAGTTGATCCGTCCGGATGGTTAAAATTTCCGTATATGTAAAGAGACAAGGGAGACACGACAGACTGATAGTGTAATATGTCAAAATCCAAGGGTAAATTGAATAAAAGCAGGTAGTTAACTCACATTTAAAAGAGCTTAAACCAGCTCTGGGGTGAAAGGCGTTAAGCGGTACCATCCCCGCTAAGGGATACAGTGGAGAGGGATGTCCATCAATCTGGTCTGGATATCCAAAGCTCCGAGATATATAAAAGAAAACAATAGTGCTCTCAATTTGTAAAATGTGGTATAAAATATTACTCACAAGTGTAGAGACAAGGACACTGCTCTATTTTAGTAGCGTTGGTGGAATGATCCCCACCTAGGATTTCTTTGAGTACAGGATACGTAAAAATGCCAGCGATAAAAAATAAGGAGGGTGTATATAAATTACAATAAAAAGAAAATTGGTATAACTAAAAGTAACCAAAAAATGTTAATTGTTAATTGTTAAGATACACAAGTAAAATACCATTAATGCGTTTCGCCAACACAGGGCTTCATCAAAATGGGATAAAATACAATCACTGGCAGTATGAGTTTAAATATGGGTACATTTGATTAAACTTGGTGCCAAAAAATAGGTCAGCCAATCAGCATTGCAATAACAAGAAACAATTTAGAAGGAGTTAATCCTTAGATTTCTGTAAAGTGTGTAAGTTTGTGAGCCTTATACTTTTTATAAATATTAAAAACGAGCGTTTGTTTTGAAAACATATTGACTTTCGTGATTAGCAGCACTTTTTTGCCCAGGGAACATTGCGGCAAAAAAGTGCTGATTATCACGAAAGTCACGTGATTGTATTCAATCCCTTATATCTTCCCAAAAAGCTATGAACAGTTTTTCATAACTGGGGGCAAACTTGGTGCCCATTGCCCTCCCACAGATCTGCAGATAAAAATCATCCTAAAACCAAAAAAAATTATTGGTTAAAATTAGAAGTATGCCTTCTAATATAAAATCTATTTGTTCCGTTTTAAAATTGGACTTGGATAAAAAATGGGGCACTACTGCCATTCCTTTCTCATGTGGAATTATACTGTAAAGGGAGGTAACATCACATGTTGCTAGTGTCACAGTAGTCTACCCCAACACGCAAGATTTAGTCTAACAATTGACAATATAAAGCTGATATGACTTACCGGACCTTAGAATAGCCGGACACGACGTAGAACAGAGAATAGACAGAGTCAGGAACAAGCCGAGGTCAAGGGGACAAAGAGACAGCGAAAACAAGAGTTTCCAAGGTCTGGTACACAGGAATCAGTAAGCCGGCAAACAAGGCAAACAGGGATAAAGAGAAAAGCGGAGTCAAAAACAAAGCCAAGGTCAAGCACGAAAAAATCACAACTGAACACAACAAGCGATAAAGGGAACAGAAACAGAAACCACGATAGGGCAGGAAGTTAAGGGAGAGGTAAGTATAAATACCCTAGAATTTAATTTGATTGGCCCCTGTCATATCCACGCCCCCAAAATGTGAGTGTATGGGGAATGTGGGATGACAGGGGCCAATGGGAGACCGTTTTAATTTTCAGCTCCCACTGTCCCTTTAAGAGCTGCCCCTTAGAGCTAGGTGGAACACGTGACCGCATCTCGCGGTCAGTGCCCACCTTCGCCAGAACGTGTGGGACCGTTCGCGGTGGGAATAGAGGACCCCGGCCGGACCCTGGATAAGGTAAGTACCGCTACAGCTAGTAGGTTTACTTCTTGCTATTCTGTTTTCTGTTATTCTGTTTTCTCTAACATTTGTAGGGCATGCATTGTGTCTTTAAGATACATGGGATTTTTTGTAACTAGTGGTTGGAGGAGAGTATCTATATACTCTGAGAGATTGAATCTATTCCAGATATAATGGGTCTGCCCGGGGGAATTTTTAGTGTTTTTATGAACTTTGGACAGATGATAAAAGACTGGAATCTTTGGATTTGTTACGTGGAGGTATTCTGCTTCTTTTTCATTACGTATACCTAATTCTTTTCCATTTTCTTTGTTTGTTTTTTAAATTGGTAACCACTTCTTTTAGAGGGCTATAGGATAGTTTTTTATATGTCAAGGAATCTGACAGTATTCTCACTGCTCCCTCTCTATATTGAATTTTATTAAAAATCACTAATCCTCCTCCTTTATCTGCTGGCTTGACCACCAAGTCAGCATTATCTTTTAAATCTTTAAGTGCTTTTTTCTCTCCTAAAGATAGATTATGTTGGTATTTATTAATCTTTTTAACTTTTCCTACTTCTTTCATGACCATGGTTTCGAAGGTCTTTATTTCGTTCAAAATCAGGTGCCTTGGAAAAAATTCAGACTTTTCTTTTAATAACGTATGATGGAATTCATCATTTTCTTTTTTTGGTTGTTGTTTTTCTCTATTATAGAAGAATTTTTTCAGGCATTATTTTCTTATAAAAGGATTCATATCTACAAAGAAGTTAAAAGAGTTAAAATCAGCAGTTGGAGCAAACTTAAGGCCCTTCTTAAAAATGTTAATCTGTTCTTTCATTAAAGGTTGATCCGTTAAGTTACAAATATCCTTCTACATTGAGATCTTCCCTCTCTTCTCTCTGTGTTTCCTTCCTACTTCTTCTCTGTCTTCTTCTTCTTCTTCCATAGATCTTTGTCTTTTTCCTGGTGTCTCCCAGAACTGTGGGTCCTGTGTCCACTTTCTCCTGTTTTGGATCAAGTCCCTCCGAAAAAAAGAAGGAGATGGAGGGGTATCTGGGAGTAAGGATCTGCATTCACTTTGGTTCCGTGTTGTAGTTGGCCGTGACTCTGGTTGTTTAATGGGAGTATGTTTGGTAGTTATCTCCTTTTCTGTTTTTTTTTATAAATTGGGACACCTTCTCTCACCACATCACTGTATGTTTTCGGTTTGGATGTATAAGAGGAGAAGTCTATCTGATATAAAGAGAAGGAAGTGAGACCTTTTATATCCCACAAAGCTGAATATCTGAGCCTAAGAATTAGTGGCTCCACACTTGTGAGTGTACCTTATCAGCATTTTGGCACTTTACTTATAATACAGATAATATTGCACTATTATCTGTCTTTTTCTATGCTTTATTGTAGGTCAATACTCAATATAAAGATTTACCTCTGAATGTGCATGTAAGATCCTCCACCTTGTGTATATCATTAACCATCCCTATTTTAATAAAAAAAGGGGGTCTGCACACTAGTAACCTGTGTAGGGCCCCATGGGATATTCCCTTCTCTGCCTGCAGCCTCCACATGCTTTCAGCCAATGAGCTACCACTATTTTGCAGGGTGTAACTGAGGGGAGCTAACGGGAGTTCCATGCAGAAAATTCTCAGCTACACTGTGACTGACACCTGGCTGATCCCAAGTAAGTTAAACCATTTGCAAACAGTTTGACTAGGGAGAGTGCCAGTTCACTCCTGGTACCATAAACACTACAGCACGCCGGCATGTCACAACCATATTTAATGTTATGTATAGTATATACAACTTTACATGATACAACTCCTGATAATTTGGTGTTGAAAAACCAACTAATATGTACAGGGCCGTCTTTAAAGCGGTTTGGTGTTGAAAAACCAACTAATATGTACAGGGCCGTCTTTAAAGCGGTGGCAAATGGGGCAGCTGCCCCAGGCCCAATTACTCCTGGGGGGCCCAAAGCAGCTACCCCGTGGGCAGGGGTGGGCTGGGCCGGGGGGCAGGGAGGCAATCGCCCCCCAGGCCGCCCTAAATAATTTGAAAAACAGCCATTGCAGGGCCAATCCTGGGCGGGTGGTCTACTGGTGCATACCAGCAGTATGTGCCTTAAATCATATCCTCTCCCTCGTGGTTCCGGTGCTCAGTTAATGAGTCAGAGCACAGGCACAGGCTCAGAGATTCTCAGCCTGCCCTCTGACAACATTGAAAGTCGGAAACCACGAAGCAGTGGGTATGGCAAAGAGCTACTGATTAGCATAACATCAATATCCGTTAGAAAACCAGGAAAAGGTGGGCATGGATGGTGAACTGATTAGGTGGTGCAATGGGCCACTTGACTGGATTTTCCCCCCAGGCCTGAGGCTGCCAGCCCTCCCCTGCCTGTGGGCCCCGCTGTCCGCCAAAACATTTTTTATTTGCCCCCTAGGCCCGCCGGTGCTGCAGCTGCACCGGGCGCCCACACACTGTAGCCCGTTAAAAGCATTTCCAGATGGAGTGAAGCTGTGCGGGATTGAGGAGGAGGCTGTCAGGAGGGGGCTGTCATAGCCTCACACTCCCAACTAACTCAGCCTGCCACTGGACCCCAGGGAAGCAACCCTCCTGAACCCATAAGGTAGGGCTGGAGGGTGGCTTTAAAAATGTTAACTTTGCGTGTGTGTGTGTCAGTATGTATGTGTGTGTGTCTTAGTATGCCTGTGTGTGTCTTAGTATGCCTGTGTGTGAGTATGTCTGTCAGGGTGTATGTGTGTGTGTGTGGCAGTATGTCTGTCAGTGTGGCAGTATGTCTGTCTGTTTTTATCAGTATGTTAGTGTGTATTAGTATGTCTATCTGTGTGTGTCATTATGTCTCTGTGTGTGTGTCATTATGTCTGTGTGTGTCACTATGTCTGTGTGTCACTGTGTGTGTGTCAGTATATCTGTCAGTGTGTGTGTCAGTATATCTGTCAAGGCGTGTGTCACTATGTCTGTGTGTCACTATGTCTGTGCGTGTCACCATGTCTGTCTGTTCATGTCACTATGTCTGTCTGTGCGTGTCAGTTTGTCTGTCAGTGTGTATCAGTATGTCTGTCAGTGTGTGTCACCATGTCAGTGTGTCAGTATTTCTGTCAGTGTGTATCTCTATGTTGTCAGTATGTATATCTGTGTGTGTGTCAGTGTGTATATCTGTGTATCTGTCAGTGTGTATATCTGTGTATCTGTATTTAGTATATCTATGTTTCTCTATGTGGTCTGTGTGTATCTGTATCTGCATGTGTGTCAGGTTGTGTATCTGCGTGTGTGTATCTGTATGTTATCATTGTATGCATTTGTGTATCTGTATGTTGTCAGTGTGTGTACCTGCATGTGTATATCTGTGTGTGCATCTGTATATAGTCAGTGTTTTTATCTGTGTATCTGCATGTGTGTCAGTATATGCATCAGTGTGTCTGAGTATCCATATGTGTCAGTGTTTGTATATATGTGTGTCAGGTTGTGTGTCTGTATGTGTTAGTGTGTGTATCTGTCAGTCTGTATCAGTATATATATCTGTGTATCTTCATGTGTTTCAGTGTGTGTGTGTCTATCTGTGTGTATGTGTATCAAAGTGTGGGTGTGGCAGTGTATGTGTACATGTGCATACATTTCATCATTCAAATCGCCAACACTACACACAAGTACACCCCTGCATTCAAAATTCAACACTACATACAAACACAGTCCTGCATTGAAACAGCAACAATACATACAAACACACCGTTGAGTTAAACACCAAAATATATATAAACACACCCCAGCTTAAAAAAAAATAAAACTACACATAGATGCATGCTTGCATTCAAACACCAACACACATGCAAACACACCCTTACATTTACACAAACATACTCCATACAAAATCATGCTTCCATTCAAACACAGCTCAGTGCTAAATACAACTCTGCAAGCATGGGAAAATGGCTCCGCTACTGCGTTGGGAAGTGGAGAGCGTGATTGAATGTCATCGAGAGGGGGTGTGGAGTGGGGGACCCTATCAAATGCTTGCCCAGGGCCCAATCATTATTAAAGATGGCCCTGAATATGTCGTTTAGAATATAGAGTTAAAGTTCCACCTTCATAGTTAGCTGTATAAAAGAGGATTGCCCCTTCACAGAATTATAATAATATGCTTATGTATCTGTAACAAATATGTGTTTGTTAGAAATCGACACTGCTGTATTTAGTTTAATTCTGGAACTGAGTGCCTCCATCTTGGCTATCTGTCAGTTGGTGCTAGACGAACTGCTCAAAATTGTGCAATTTATCAAAGTATTATTTTCTAAAAAGTGGTGCAAAATTTTAAATAGAAGCATTCACCAACGGAATATATCCAATGGAAGAAGAGAAGATATATATATATGTGTGTAAAGTGGTTATGATGCCCCCCACACTCCCTATTTGTAATAAATCTACCCATTTTATAATCATATGACTTCTTACCTGTTTCTGCTGGGAACCACTATCTGCATCCACTACAACCAACAGAGCTGGAAGTTCTCTTTCAGAGCCAAGTCCAGTGATAAGCACTGGTAGGTCCCAAACAGGAGGTCTTGTTATCTGGCAGTGGAGGTAGAGAGCAGCACCCAATTATCCCCAGGTAAGAGGTCATACAATGGGGCACACCAATGCACTTCTGTCCACATAACCACTACATGGCACTATAGTGGTTATAGCGCTTTGGGTGTTTCTTTAAATACACATGAAAATCTGAATATATGTAATATAATGCCTGTAAATTAGCAAAATATTCAGAAATATGTTGATATAGACACGAGTCAATCCAAGTTCATCATAAATAGCAATATTATCACTGTGACCTACTTCCCCAATGGGAATACTACCTCAATCAATGTGTGTTGTGTGCATGAGCATCACCCACAGCTACCCAAACATTTTTTGTAGCAGTCTGGAAGGAAACCTCAATTTGTGGTAGTATTGAATTTGGGCAAAACGTTGTGCACTCGAGGAGGTCAACAGGTATAATACTTTTAATTATGACTACAGCATCATTATCGGAAGCTGCTAAAGTTTGTTTTATGTGTGTCTTCCTTTCAGTCTTAATTTCAGTATGCATATCTGGTACAGATGACCACACTGCAGGGGTAGCTCCATAAGATACAAGATTCCTTACACAGCATTTACTCTCTGCCAGGAAACTTCAACTTGTCAACTGCAATTCTCATGACTGAACTCTATATTTGTAAGCTGAGATTTCACAATCTTCCCCTTCAAAAAGAAACCCCTCTCTCATTATGCTTGTTTTAAAGTGAACCTAAAACGTTAACTTTATTGAAATCGCTGCCATATGCATTTAATAATACACCATATATCACAAAGATACATGACGTATTCAATGTAAATTATAGAGGTTTGCTCACCTCTCCTCCGTTCCAGTAACACGTTTGTCAAACGTTGTAGTTGTCACTCTTGATGTAGCACCCACCTCTGTACCATCCTTCTGCCTCTGTTGATTTGACATGCTTGGGGATTAGGTACCAGCATGCCGGTGTTGGAATGGAGTGATGTCATGTCACTCTGTTCCTATACTCCCTTCCTGGTGCTATCATTGGGAGAGCAGAATGACCTCCTGTGGGAGGTTCATTCTGCTCTCTCTTTGTCAGTCAATGACTCACCATTGAGGGTCTACCAAGGTATTGGCTAAGAGCTGAGAGAAAAACCTTGTTTTAAAAAAGTTTTTTTTCCAAATCTATACATTTACTAGAAGAAAAAACTACTAGCACAGTATATACACGAAATTGTGTGCTCTTTCAAAAGAGCATAAGAAAAAACCCAACTAAAGGTATCCCTTAAAAGTATTTTAAAGCTTTTTCTTAAATAACGTGGAATTATTTAAATGTTGAGTCACTAAAAAGATTAACTTTGTCCATGTACTCATGATATTATTATAGAAGTGAAAAAGATTATTTAATTTCTTCTGAAGCAAAAAAGCGAACCAGCTTAAATTAGACTTCCTCTTTTCTGATCTCTAAACAAGAGACACGTGAAGCACAACCTGCACCTGGTTCCTCTGCTGACCCACCTTCTCGTCTTCGTCTGTAATTTATATTCAAGAAAAATACTCTGTGCTTAATATCTCTGCCCATCACCTGATTATTTTCTATATTTCACAAATAAGAGAATAGTCATTGGATTCTCCTGATTGTCTTCAATGATGTACAAATACCTCCAAACTTGTCTCCTCAAACTTCACATCCACTTCAGTTATTTCAAACAAAAGAAAATACATATGATTAAGATATTCTATAAAAGAGCCCCTTTTCTAATCCGCCTTCTAATCTTCTTTAATTACTGGATTTAAAAACATGGCTCATGGTAACCAATTTTTTTACACCTAAATGCTAACCCAACTTCAGATCTTCTATGATTGGTAGACTTGTGCACATATGCTTTTCAGCTGGTTCGAACAAATCAAATTATTTTTAATCTTCACCAGAACAAATGAATGAGTCTGGGATATATGGATCGGGTAGTTTGTATATAGCATGGATTAAAAGGAATTTGATTTGTTTGTTCCAGTTGAAACGCATTTGTACACAAGTTTAACGATTAGTAAATAAGAGAAGTTGTTATCCTGCATCATCTTTTTTTCTACAATTTATAAATGAGAAGTGAGTTCTGGGATTCAGTTATCATGAACTGACCTTATGATCCTCTACGTTAAATTCCAAGTAAGAAGAATAGTGCATTGGTTCCAGTTAACATAAACTAATCTTCTGAAATTCTACTATAACATATATACAAATCGGTTATTAGTGGAATCCCAATGCCCTACGGCTGTCTACTGATTTATCTTCTAATTTTCTACTATAATATATAAATAAAAAAAGCTGCCAGTGGAAATCACTTACCTCACGCCTGTTTTTTTTTTTTACTTACCAGATTACAATTATTTATATAGCGCCAACATATTCAGCAGTGTACAATAGGAAACAGAACATGTATGACATACCAGAATAGTATGTGAAGAGTGCCCTCCCCAAACGACCACACAATCTAAAGGGATTGAATTCTTTAGAGCATTGGTGCCATGATAAGTGTCCAAAGCCTTGTAATCATATATAAATATGCCAGGTATTAGAACATCGCTAAAAGACAGCTTCTCTGTGGTGGGAGCATGCTCACAATTTTGGTGTTGATATTTCTACAAATAAATAATATATTCAGTGACATCATTCAGTGTCACAGTTTTGCCAGCGGCCAGGACAATCATATAGAACCTTTAGAGAAGAAAGATACAGATGTGGCAAACGTGCCTATGCCACAAGCTCCTTGTGGAGCCTGCTAGCTAGCTTCCTGCCCAAGGAGTATGGGCTAGGTCCAAAAACCCTGTTCAGGAGTTTGCCTGCCTGTCCTCCCTAAGAGACTTTCCCCTGGTTCCCATAGTTCGTCACTTTCCCTTCACGTGTATGAAACTGAACGCTAGCTCCCTGGTGGCCGCTCGCATGGACCAAAACTGTGAACAGATTTCAGGGGGACTTAGCCGCGAATACCCTGAAACTATTTTTGTCATGAGGACTTTGCAGCTCCCGGTTGGTCCCCAGGGTCAATTTGGTCCTGTTATTTCAACAACTTTGAAAACTGCCAGGAGAGTGCTTTTTGGAGGGAATGTGCCTGAGGCTATGTGGAACCATTGCTGCCTGAGAGCCAGGTGTAAACCCACGTAGTTTGTCCACCGGAGCCCCTGAAAGTTGACCGGCAAAAGCACCAAATACTCTGGAACTGTTTTGGGCATAGGACCACGTGTGTGGCCGGTCAGAACTTTGACACTGTGGCGATTCCCCTGTACTGCATGGATCTGAGTGCAATTTGCACAACTTGGGTGCTCAGATCAGGGGTGTTTGGGGATATATAATTTGTGTGGTTATTGTGTATTTTTATTGTTTTTGGGGTGTTTTATGATTTTGTGTATATTTTCCTGCATCTGAGAGATAATCAAATTAGGGTCCTTTAGACTCAATTATCTCTCAACTGCAGGAATTAAGGGGAGATGTTTACATATGAACCTGAAGGGAGACTGTGTATTGTGGGTGTGTTCTGTATAATGTAATTTAGGCTGTGCATTATGTATGAAAGGAGGCCACTTGGCCCTAATAAAACCAGTCGTACTTCACCCTTCATCAAGTCTAAGCTGATGTTTGGGAACACAGAGCTATAATCACTGCTGCCCTTGGGACTTGGGAGAACTACAGCTGTTAAATTCAGTCGGAGTATAGGGGATTCGTTACACAGGTGTACATTCTTCTACATCTCCATTTTCAACCTTTTTCTCTATTGCTGTGAAAATATTGTTTAATATGCATGAAGCCATGTCTCATGTACTTAGACCATTTTATCTTCTGACTCCCTCGTCTCTTTACTGTTCATTATTCACTTCTTTGTAACGGGTTTTATAGTTGGACAGACATTATAAAATGAAAAGAAGTTTACCTGTCCAGTGAATTGCTACGTATTACTAAGACGTTCCTGAAAGGCTAACTCTGTTTTTATTTATAATTATTATTCTGTAAGTGTCTGTATGGTCCACAAACCACTGCACTACAATAGTGAGCCATCACCGCTCTGAAGAATTTGATTATTATTTTATTCAGCTCAACAGAATTCTGAGTCACAAGACATTATGTCAAAACTTGGCACTAGCGGATTTGCTGATGTCATGGTTGTTTTTTAATGTTTTAATCTATTTCAATCAATGCTTACTTTATAAATGTGCAAACTTAAAGAGTAATCAATATTTCTTTTATTAAGACCTTAGTCGCATACACCTTCCTGCTGTCAGTGAGCCAACAAGGAGGGTTTCCTTGAACTAGAAACAAATGTTTCTCAAGTATTTCGTTAAATGGTTTTATTAGAAGCATTGCATTGGACAGAGATCTGCAGAACTGATGATCTCACGGTGGGCAGATTGACTTCAGGGAGGAGACAGTCTTGGTTCTGGAATAAAGGTACGTTTTCATCTTTTTTTATGAAAAAGGTACCGAAGGCACCTAAATATGGTCTAAACTTTACAAGTAAAAAGGATCAGGGTCATTTACATTTTTATGGTGCTAACGTGCATTAAACTGTCTAATTAAGATTTCCCTAATCCATCCCAATCTGCATACCACTGCCAGGATTGAGGAATCCTTTTGTCAAATTCAATTAAGAATAATTAATGTTCTGCAATAGCCAATGTTGTGTATTATAGGAGTATAAGTGAAGGAATGCACCTTGATTCCAAGGCTCAAGCTTGTAGGTGCCTTAAATGGCTAGCCTATATTAAAATTGGCTAACTTGGACTCATGTAATGCTTTATGCTTAAATGAACATTGCCCACCATATATGTCTATTTCCGGGAGCAGAATAGCCCCCTCCGGAGCATGTCTCATAGACTGTTATCTACTTTGAATTCTGGGAAACCATCTGTTTTTGTAAACATGACCTTAAACAAATGTGTCTATTTCTTACATTCTTTTCCTGTGACGTATCTATCACAAGATATGTGTGCTCGCACACGATCATGCACTTTTACTGTATAAAAAGCTAAGCTCTCCCAATAAATGGCAGAAGCAATTATTCTGGATTCACAACTATCATGTGTCATGTGCCTTATTGCTTCTCCAAGCACTTGAAATGATTTGGGTTCCCCTGAACATAATTAAAGGATGATTTATCCAAGACAGATACATGTTACACTGCACTTGATAATGTGATGTCCTCAATACTTCCGGTGTCTTCGTTCCATGAGAGCAAGCAAGAGACAGATTCCAGGACCAGGGTCAGAATGTTGGACAGCATCCTGGAAATCAAGGAATCAGCTTCATTCAGACACTTAGAGTGATGTAGAGTGAGAACAATTCACAATTTCCTGTGTGTTAACCATTTTCAAAGTAAATGAATAAGCTGAGATATGTAACACAAGCAATGTTCACCATAATTATATAATTATTATTTTTTAAAGTCTTACGACTTTGCAACCATTCTTCAGAGTCCACTATCATAGCTTTATTAAAAACTTCTAAAGCTACCCCATTCCTTAAGGAATTTACTAGATAAATAGCAGCTGAAAAGTTTGTGCATGTGTTTGTGTGCTTTACATTTTACCATTTTTAATTCAGGATTTCACAGAGCATCTCGAAATTCAGTAGGTTAATGGACCGACACTACTCATTGTGATAAATGTTTATAATTATTCATGGAATCGTTTAAACAAGGCATTCCTAGGGGTCGAATTAGCTGAAATATAGGCCTCAGACAGCTGTTTATAATCTACAAATTGCAGCCCAAAATGAAATGTTTTCATGAATATATAGGTGATATGATATGGTTCCCCTACTGCCAATGACAAGGTGGTTATACCTGTAACTTCACTTCGATGGGTTTTACTGACAAATTTGTAATATGCCAGTACCAAGATTACATTTAATTGCTTAGATTGGACCTGCCTGTAAAGAAAAAAAAAACTTAACTTTTATGAATAAAGAAATATATAAATGTTGTAGTGTATGTAATGTAACCATATTAACAATTTGCTAAACCACGTTATATTCTTTTTTTTTGTACCAGTCTGACACAATATAACCACTTTGATGATGACTACCTTGATCAACAAAATGTTGTTTTTCGGTGTTGCATTACTATCGTGGGGTAAATTGCATTGCCTGATTTATTAAGTAATTATTAAATGTGTCGAGAAATGTGTTGAGATCTACAAATATATATACAAAATAAATTCCATTTAAAAAATAATAATCTAATGTGTTTCTCGTGGTGTTCCTTTTTAAGACAATATGATAATGTATTTATACACCCGGCTTATCGTTTGGGAAAAACAAATAAAGTCTCTCGTATCTAGAAAAAGTTTGGGGACAATTTATCACAAACCATTTTACCATATACAGATCTCTTTTTTTTTTTCTTTATGCAGAATATTTGTACAATGTCAAACGCAAATTCCTTTGAAGGTTAAGAAATAGATTCAGACTTATAAAGCAAGTTAATGAACGAAGAAGCTTAGTTATTCTAATTCCCCCACTCTTCCCTTCTGCTTTCTGTAATTGAACTTGCAAAATTGTATCTGCTAAAACATAAAAAAGCACCCATCCTGTGGCCATTTTATTCCTCTGTGGGATTCACCTTTTGCACATCATTTATTTAAATAAAAGAGGAGGAAACAGTAGACTTTGAGCAGGCTGGGGGCTGGGAACTGATGGTAACAGATGAGAAGAAGGGGAGCGACAGAGGGTCAGACATGGGGTTGAGAGCCAAGACATGTAGAGATGTATGGACATGCGCAAAAAAAGGAACAAAAACCAGGAACAAAAATAAAAAAGCAGCAAAATTATAGATTATATATTACAATACAAAAAATACTTACAAACATTACACAGTAATTCTCTGAGCACCTGTGAGGTTTTTTTTTATCTCCTTGGTCAAATAGTAAGCTTTATCTGTAAGCACCATAGTGAAATTTTGTTCACAGACTTTTTTTCCCATCAGCTCAACAGGACATATTAACATTTTCTATCCCGGGTTCTGCGTGCAAGGGAGAAGGGGAATTCATCACAAATTTTATTATTATTTTTTTTTAAATACTATTTAAAACTTTCATTTATCCACAGAAGAAGAAAAAAAAATAGAGTCCTTTTTTTAGGCGCTTGTTTGTTTTCTTTTTACATATCTGACACAGAAGAGCTCAAGGAAAAGGTTTAACAATAGATAAAGCTCTCTATGGATGTGAAAAAGTGGCTTACAGTGTCCTCATTGTGTGTAAATTTAAAAGGCTATGGGAAGTGGACCCCATTTTTTCTCTTTCCTGGGTGAGAATGATGGGTTTTAAAAAAGCCTCAAATAATTCTAGCTAAGAGTCTATCATAAAATCTTTCTTTGGTCATCTGAGGAGCCACCCAAATTGAAGGTTATAGTCACATGTTGACTTTGGGTCTCTTGTTCCATCGTGTTGGGATTGATATTTTCTGGTCCTCATCAGTTGAGTTTCTTGAATACTGGTGTATAGGAATAAAGGGAATGGGGCTTCTCCTTTTTATTTCAGAAGGGGGAAGAATTGTACGGGAGGTGTTTGTTATTTTTGATTGGCCTCAACCCAAAAAACATACAGGTCCCACTTCAAAGCCAAATTTCTGGTTGGTTTCTCCAAAGTCCATGAACATGGCATCCATCAAAGGTAGCTGCTCCACGCGTGGAGTGTGGACTTCCAACACAGTCTTGTCTGTGCCTTTCCTCGTCTGTAGAGTTGGAAAACATTGATAAACAATCAGTATAGCGTTTTAACTACCATATGGCTGAATATTCTTAATTTTTTTTAAGCAAATCACATGTAAAATATTTTCATGATCAAATGAATTCACATATCTAGACAGTTCAGAATTCACAATTTCCTCAGTCCTAACAGTTTTAGCTGTTTATCTAAAATTCAGTACTGAAAAGCAGAATACATATAATGCAAAATTTCAAAGTTTCATTATTTAATAAATGAAATAATACGTAAATAATTAAAAATTGAAAAAATAAAAAATACTATAAGGCAGGCGTTAATTTGCCCCATGGGGAAAGGAATGGTAAATATTGTAGGTTTTAATGTACCACAGATGTCAGAACTAATGGGAATCCTTAAAAAGACACATAGCTTGGTTAAAACCTATGTTTGACTGTATTTTTTTTGTCAGCAAAGAAAATAGCCTTAATAATAAATGTTTTACTAAAAGTACAAATATAGCATTTGAGAAAGCAAAATATTTTATATAAGTTTTTGGGAGCAATGTCCTCATCTTGCTTTCTGGTCTTTGCCTGTGAGCTGGAATCCTATACAAATGTATTGAACACATGATTCTGTAATCAGGAACTAAGAATTCTTCCATCCCACTATGAATGTGACCTCAATCTGCTCCATTTAACTTACCGCACAACCGTCTCTCAGAGCCTTAATGTAGGGGCTATTGTGGAAGGAGAGATCCTCTTCATTGGAACCCATAAAGTGCAGAGCCTTTTGGTAACTATTGGTGGAGGTAAGGTGCCAGGCAGCAGAGCGGTGACAATGATATGTGAAGTTCTGATGGGCAGAGACACTCAGAAGTCGTAAGAAGGTCAACTGCACCACACCAATGGGGATACCCTCCGAATCGACGTATGAGAACTGTGTGTAGTAGGACAGGATGATTAGAAAACAAGGGCAAATATTTGAAAGTTTTAAGAGAATAAAAGTAGATGTGAGTGAAAGACTGGTTATATAAATATTCAAATAATATGGAATTGTTAGAAATATGAATGAATGAAAGAATGAACGAATGAACAAGTAAATGGTAAGACATTAGTAAGAGTTTTCAGAATTTTTCACAGGAGATACATGTACACTTGATGTTTGAGTGAAAACTAATAACATGGACAAGTGACCAAGACACAACAGAGGCAAATAAACAACCACATATGAAGTAGCTCTATTTTTCCCCCTATCTCTGAGAATTCCTGTTTTAATGCCTCCAAACGTGCCCTGTGTGGACGTATGTCTTATCACCTCACCTTTCTGCCACTCCTGAATTTGCTGTACCAGGTCTCTTTCTTTTCTGAGCTCCAGGTTGACATCTTTACCTGTGTGAGACAAGATCCGAGTTAGAACACCTGGTCATTTTATCTACATGCCACTGAGATGCAATCTCCCTCTCCAGTCCTCACCTTCTCTATGTCTTTGTTGGGGTAGATACAGGTTTCTCCTCCTGATGTAAAGTTACAGAAGACCTTAAAGGAGTCTCGTGTGCAACCTTGATTGGGATCAATCCAGTATTCACCTGGGAGGAAGAAGGCATAGGTGTAAATTCACCTTACTGAGAATCTACTCTTTACCACTGGGAATCTGCCTATTTATCCTGAGGATCAACTCAAAACCTTGAGCGTCTTCCCACTTACAATGAGAGTCTGCCCATTTACACTAAGAATCTGCCATTCACCCCGATAGTCTGCCTATTCAGTTATAAAATCTCATCCTTCACCCTAAGATAACCTCATCTTTTAGAGAGATCTATTCAATAAAGACA